TAGAATAAATAAACTAAAAAATACATTACTTAGAATAAATAAACTAAAAATACATTACTTTGAGTTAATTTGAAACATTAAGGATGAGTAATTATCGCTGAAAAAATTATGGAAAACATATGTTCCATATTGATCGTATTCACAGAAGTCTCACGTTGTGAAGGATGGAATGCGTGCGATTGTATAACAACTGATAATAGGAGGCGCCACAGTTATATAACACACTACAAAATGAGGATTAAAACTTTCTGCAAATTACAGGAAATTTCCTAATGTCTATCATTTATACGTATGGGTTTCACGTTTCAAGAGTGAAACCTAAAATGTTTCAGCTTAATAGTAGCAGTTATCAGGAGATATTTTAAGAAAATTTATCGGCAAAAATCAGTGTTGACTTTCCTAATCAACGAACTATATTTTTAAAGAAACATTGTGTATCGCATTTATTTGAATTAAACATGGCTATAATGATATCGTTTTCCTTTATAATAATAATGGCAGTAGATTTTTTGCTTTTTTAAATAATAAAATAGGATGTAGCAGTATTGCATTCGTTTAGAATAACCCCGATAATAGCAGCATACCATTCCTTCAAAATAACCCCGATAATAGCAGCATACCATTCCTTCAAAATAACCCCGATAATAGCAGCATACCATTCCTTCAAAATAACCCTGATAATAGCAGCATACCATTCCTTCAAAATAACCCTCATAATAGCAGCATACCATTCCTTCAAATAACCCCGATAATAGTAGCATACCATTCCTTCAAATAACCCTCATAATAGCAGCATACCATTCCTTCAAAATAACCCCGATAATAGCAGCATACCATTCCTTCAAAATAACCATGATAATAGCAATACCTTTTTTCTTTTTTTTTGGAATAAACCAGGTAATAGCAGTTATCATAGGTACTCTAACTTATCTGGAGCAACTTAATGAATTGTTATTTTTTGTTTAAAGTAATTCTTTAGACGTTTTGTGGTCACTCATTAACTCCCATGCAATATATAAATTTAATATTTAGTGTCACAAATTCTCGAGCTCCATTTTTCCATGATATGGACGTGGCTTGGTATTAGTGTGCCGACTAAAATTTGAGGGTCCATGATTCATAGTTTGAGGCCGTATGCACGTTATAAAACAACACTGTCAAATAGAATTATTCGATGAGTTGACAGGGAGGGAAATAGGCTGCTGTTGACTAGCCTCCTTCACTCTTGTTTATCAGTTCAAAATTAGGGATGGCTAGTGGCAATATCTCTCGTGTAGCTTTGCGCAAATATGGCAAACAAAAATATTTTTCGTAGGTTAATGCTTTGTAAAAAATATTTATAACAAACGTATATTTTTCTCAACTAATGTTTATTTAATTGCAAATAAAAACATATTATTACCTTCAGTATATTATATATAAATTATAATATGTCCCTGTTTGAATTAAAAATCTACTAGCAAAGCCCATATATGTGAACAAACTAGCGCTTTTGCCCACAGTAGTATTCAATTTGGTTAAAATAAAGAATTTTATTTATTGATGTCAGAGAAATAGCATAAAACAAGAGGGAAGCCTCAATAGCCGTGGCACTTGAAAATCTTTTAGACGGGATTAGAGTAAATAAATCTATGATATCTTGGGCGTGGTCAAATACATCAATCGAAAGGGTGTGACCTCTTAAGTCCAAAACTGTAATTAGATCTCAAATTGGTCAAGATATGACGGAGCTAGGAGCTAAAATTTTGTACTTGAAAACAAAAACAAACTCAGAGCCATTCTATGAGCCGCTATGCCGCGGCAGAAAATGCAATGAAAAAATATACGAATATTTCTTTCTATATGAAAATATAAGTATTCATTTATCAAGAAACAGAATAAATTGATTAATAAATCTTAAAATGACCAATAAGTTCCACTTCTTAAAAATATTTTTCTAAATTATTTATGCAGCTAAAAAAACACCAGAGGAAGGGCACCCCAGCCCGAAACGTTGTGAATATTAAAACATCTATTTTGCATTAGCCATTTTTCGTGGTATACGTTTATTTCCCCTTTTTGTTTCCCGTTGAAGCAGATAGCTGAATTTGGGTTTATGACGAAAACATTTAAACAAGAACAAAAGAAGCATCAACACTACATTAATTTACACTGATTATATATAGAAAATGGGTGATTTCACCTAAATTGTTCGTTAATTTCTGTACAATGAATGTTTTAACAGGAAAAAAAGATAAACTTATGTAATATGATGCAGTATATGAAGCATATCCGTAGTTAACAATATAAAAACAACTCGGTAGTTGAAAGTTATATTTTTTCTACTAACGTTCAAACATTTAGCGTGAAGTATAAGTTACGTAAAGAAACTGTAAGAACAATTTATGTCCAATGCACAGAAATGAGCCTCTGTGTAAATATTGCGTATGAATTTAATTCTGTTTTTGCCAAGATTTCAATACGGGTTTACACATAAAAGTAATGTCTCAAAATTAGGGTGTGCAAACCAAGTATGATTCAGGCTTTGACAAAATATAAGCTCCAAATATCTATGTAAAAACCACAGTGGTGGCATGTATACAATGTCAGTCTTATAACCTTACAGAATGAAACCTACAAGTTAAAGCACTAAGATTCTGTGACTGAAGAAGAGCTGGAATATTTATTGTTATATTCTGCTTTTGTCGGATGCCTATATTGATATAGTTGCAAATCATAACGGAAAGCATTTTGTCTAACATAAAAATAAAATGTTAATTCCAAACACTTCCGACAAAGGAGAACAATTTCAATGTTTGTGATAATTCCCTTCTTATCATAGTGCGGACGAAAGAATTGACAGTACATTTCCTACTAACGTTGTCGTTCAGCACAATGGAAGTTGTTCGTATATTCCGCCGGGGATTTTCAAAAGCACGTGCAAGATTGACATCACATGGTTTCCTTTCGACGATCAGAAATGTGTAATGAAATTCGGATCATGGACGTACGACGGAAACTCCTTGGACCTCCTCTTGTCTAGTGACGAAGCTGATCTCTCAAACTATGTGGTCAATGGAGAATGGGATTTAATAGGTATGTCATAAGAATGGGATTTAATGGGTATGTCGTAAGAATGGGATTTAATTGGTATATTATGAGTAAACAAAACCTCGAAATGAGAGAGAGAAATAATTCTCTTTCGCCTGGTGTTAACTACAAAAGTTTTTGTTTTTTTTATAAACGAGTAAATGTTCTACCTTAACTATTCTAATATCAACATATTGCCACATAGACTTAGCATGCTCATTATTTCCTTTTTTTTTATCAGTGAAACTCGTAGGTTTCATCCAGTACCAACATTCTTTAGTTCGACTAGATACAAATTTAACTGTGGGAAACGTTTTGAAAAATAAAAAAAAAAACCTTTTCAAGCTCATTGAAAAAATAATAATATTCTTATAAATTGGCTATGTATAATATTAAAAATAATTATGCATATACAAGCGACACATGTTCCAAAGTCACAAAGAAAGTAGTAATGGCAGTTAAATGAGGAATCTATTATTGGTGCAAAACAATATCACAAAAAATACAAACGAGAAAAGTATAAGTTGTACAATGCATTAATATTTTGTATGTGAGACCTCTGACTTACACAGAACATTATAACTTTTATAACTTTTTATTTATAAATGTTCATGTTGCCGTACAGTGTTTCAATGTATTGCTGTTTAATATTGTAAGAAGTGCCTTGTATTGCTATCTACAATTCAGCCAAGTTGTTTGGTCGATTTTTGACTTTCTAAGTTTTATGTAAAGCCAATCAACCTTAAGAATGTTCATATTAGAACTATGTGCGGATCATACCATGGCCGTGAGCGTTCCATTGGCTTCTTTAGCGTCAATATATGAATCACTGCCGAATGAGTCGTGTTGCTTGGGGAATGGAATGATGGATAAGAATTTGCCTATACCTGTCAATATAGAGGGTGCCATCAGTTGTGTGTATATCACCAACACCGTTGAGTGACTTGTACTGCTCCTCACTATGCTATAATATATTGTCGTTCTCTTCTCTTCCATAAAACAGTCTCCCCCCCCCCCAAACCAATTTGAATCCTGCTTAATCGGTAAAAAGCACACGTATCCAGCTTTGCTTAATCCATTATTTGGCTACATCTTCTCAGCAGCGATTTTTGAACAGTTTATATGACAGCATGTAACATTCACATGTAACATTCAGCATTTAACATTCACAGCTATATTTACAGCAAATTCATTGATAAGATCTGTACTGGAACGTTGTTTATATCACACATAACATACTATGGGATATTGAACATCAATTCTGGAGAGTTTCCATTTCTAAGACTACCACTTTTATTTCTAAAACCATGTCAGCCTCGCATATTGTCTTCAAGTGCTAACAATCTGGCATCAAATATGTTTATATAGCTGTTGACAATCTGGCAGCAAAATATGTTTCTATACCTGCTAACTATCTGGCTTCAAAATATGTTTATATAGCTGCCACCAATTTGTCATCAAAGTATATTTACTTATGTGCTAACAATTTAGCATCAAAATATGTTCGTGTATTTCCTACCAATCTGGCATCCAAATATGTTTATATAGCTGTTAACTCATGCTGAAACGAGCAGTATTGCTGCAGCATTGCACATAGACCTTAACCAGCCAAAACTAATTTTTACAAACTTTTCATGCTGCTTTACAGTCCCAGAAGCCATTACTAGATTCCAACAGCTACTACTGGGCATATAATTACTGCCTATATTCTTATAAGTGGGTCTGGCATGGCTCAGTGGTTAGCGCTCCGGACTGGGAATCCTTGGTTCCATGGTTCGTGTTCCGTTAATTCAAATTCACGCTCCGCTTTTGAAACTACGGGTGGGTTATAAGAGTGACGGCCAAATCCCACTCTTCGATTAGTGTAGCTTAACAGTTGCCAAAGGGGCGCATTAAATTAGCTATCTTCTCTCTAGTCTATCAGTTTGAAATTGTGGACAGCTAGTTAAGATAGCCAAAGTGTAGCTTTGCGCAAGTATTCAAAACAAACAAACTTTTATAGGTTTTATACTGGCGTAGCAATTTCTGATTACTTGAGTAAAACATAATCGCAGTCTAAGCTATATATATATATATATATTTGTGAGAGTGTGCGTAAGATTTTATTTAACTGTATTAAAACGCATGGCCAGGTGGTTAGGGCGCTCGACTCGCAATCTGTTGGTCGCGGGTTCGAATCCCGCCCTTTCAGCCGTGGGGGCGTCATAATGTGACGGTCAATCCCACTATTCGTTGATAAAAAAGTAGCCCAAGAATTGGCGGTGGGTGGTGATGACTAGCTGCCTTCCCTCTAGTCTTACACTGCTAAATTAGGAACGGCTAACGCAGACAACCCTCGTGTAGCTTTGTGCGAAATCCATAACAAACAAGCAATTAAAACGCATTAGGCATAAATCTAATTTTCATAAAAAACTACACTAGCTTTGTGTCTAGTCAAAATGGTTTCAATCATCTAAGCTTTTTGATAACATAACATCTAGAGGTAAATTTTTTTGTCCTAGTAATACCTTAAAATGTAGTGATTACGAGTTAATTTTTTTATGGGCTGAATAAATAAAGAGTAAACGTATCCTTTTTTAACGCTGCACTCGTGAAGTTAATTGTAACATTTTCACGCTGCACTTATGAAGTTAATTGTAATGTTTTTAATGCTGCATTGGTGAAGTTAATTGTAAGATTTTTCTAACTTAGAGAACTATTTCATGGTTATCTACTTGACTTTAGGTGTAACTATTGAAAAAACTTACACGTATATTCAAACCGACTCTCTTTCTTACAGTTGTTTAAATATATCTATAAACACTGTTTTTTCAGAATTTCCTGGAGTTCGAAATATAATATACTACACTTGTTGTCCTCAACCCTACGTCGACATAACTTTCACCTTACACATCAGACGTCGTACTCTCTACTACGGCTTCAACCTTATAATTCCTTGTGTTCTTATTTCATCAATGGCTTTGTTGGGATTTGCATTACCACCAGATTCTGGAGAAAAGCTAACTCTGGGTGAGCTACGCTTTTCAGATTGTCTTAAAATATAAGTACAGTTACGTTTCAGGCAACTAATAGATTTTTTTCTCATTTTACGGTTAATGTTATTTTTGATAATAACGTTTTCAACCTCCATTAAGTTCAGAGATTAATAAATAATACCAGTGGCACAGCGGTATGTCTGCGGACTTACGACGCTAAAATCCGTGTTTATATATCCGTGGTGGGCAGAACACAGATAGCCCATTGTGTAGCTTTGTGCTTAATTATAAACAAATAAACAATTAAAAAATAAATAAAGATAATTGTCGAAAGAGACTTTATGAAATTAACTTTGATAATGGTGCCTTCTGAAAAAAAAAGCATCTCAAGCAAGAATTATTGACGTTCTTGACTTATTTTACATAAAATAACTTTATATTAATATGTGAAGGATAAATCAAGACATACACCTGACTTTCCAGATGGTAGATTACGTTCAGTGTTTTTACTACACTTGAACATTCTTAACTTTCCAGATGGTATATTACGTTCAGTGTTTTTACTATACTTGAACAATCCTGACTTTCTAACTATACTGAAAAGTCATATGTTTCTAAGACAACTGAATCACATTGGAATCAACTTGTAGTGCATATTAAGTAGCGTAATGGAATTATTTCTTGTACATCTAGAACCGATATAATAATATATCTAAAGCTTGTGTTTTGATATTTAGCATTAAATTATAAACATAAAGCAAAATTGTTAGAATTATATGAAGACCGTAGATTTGAAATTATGACCAAACTTTTCCCATATATGTGAGGAAGTCAAATCTCTTGTGGGTGATATTGCCTTAAGACAATTGCCTAATTAATCGTTTAACGCAGAAACGAAGTTTCTGATGCTTTACATAGGGATCATCCTTGACAATAACAAATGAAGTCATTAACATCATGAATAGCCAAGCTATAACGATTATTAAATCCTTCTCATTAAACCAAACACACTAGGGTGTCTACTAAATAACACCAAACAGGATAATTATATAGAAACTAATTGATGCCATGAGCTGAGCAAACCATGTACGCTATAAAATTCCAAATATATCCGCAGTTAGGTTTAAGTACAATTTTCACCTCTCAAACTCTTGAAACTCGAATGATGTAATTTTATTCTAATTACGAAGTGATCTCATAGAAAGAATAAATGCTAAATTACACGTTGCAGTAACTTGATATGCAACAATGTTAACAAGCCATTGTTGCATAATATTTTATAATATATATTACAATCTCACGTTTTAGTGACTTTATAAGCAGAATTTGATGGGAATAAAATTTTCTTATTATCTATGTACTGAAATAAAAATGCATAATTTCATATGATAAGATCTAAGATTAAAACAAAAGGTCTAAAGCACATGTCAAAAACCTATCTTTCATTATTCACGTATATTTCAGAAGCTTGAAGACACTATATAAAAAACTTGGTATATTTTTTGTCTTTTTTGTCCTAGCTGATCGCAAAGTTTCGTTTCCATTTTCGTCTGCGAGAAATAATATGCAAATGTTTAATATATCTTTTCTACCAAGAAATTGGCGAAGAAATTAAAGCCCAATCTCTAACAAGAATAAGAATCCCAGCAAACTTCAGAGCATTGGACGACTAATTGAGAGCCGTTCAACTGTTAGTCATAGTCCGAATTGCAAACTACTTTTTACAAGACATCCTAAAAATTATCGAAATAAGAAAGAAGCTCGAATGGCATGTAGTGGATTTTTCTCAGCGCAACTGCAGGTTTTAATATCATTAAAATTTTTGATTTTTTTAATTATCTTCCACGAAATAAAATAAAATAAACTTTAATGGGATTGATATTAAGAGATCGTGTTAACTGGATTGCAATCCAGTATTCAACATAATAAGTATTCTTATAGATTTTACTTATTTTTGTATAATAAAGGAAATAATATGACACAGGTGCACGCATCTTTGATGATCGGCTGATGAATTGGTAATGTTCTTGTATTAACATTTACAGAATAACTTAGAAATCATATTCGGTGTTCCGCCAGATTGTTATTGACTCATTTAAGTTATCCACATTTGTTTATTTATCTTTCTTTGGATAAGTCCAATTTTCGCTTGGAAATGAAAAGTTGTTTCTATTGTAGCAATTTCGTACAAGATGTATTTGCTTGGGAACGTTAAGGGCATTATTGAAATAAGATTTAATTTTAGTAAATATCCCTTTCTGCTGAAGGTTTAATAAATAAGCTTTAAGATATGTAATAAAACAAATTTGTCGGCAACCGTTTCCACTGATATCTCACTTATTAAGCCTTATGCTCCATGATTGATTACAGACCTCGGTGTCAAATAAATATTCCTACCTCTAATACAGTCTGTCTATAAGAGTCTATCCATCAGTATATGACAAGTTTCTTAAAAACCAGTATAACTGGCAAGGTAATTTTTCCTTGATTATTGTACGTTACATCCTTGTAGAATCTTTTACTTGAAAAAGTTCACACTATTTACTATGTCAAACTTGATGAATCTCGACCAGTTTTGTTTCTTCGAGTATCATATTTACAACTTCTGGTTTTCTTATTTTACTCGAAACCATTCTCACGATATGTCTGCGCTTTCAGCCTCTGCACCATTTTACCCCAAGCTAACTACTTTCCGTTGAGTGGCTGGCCAGCTGTTGAGCAAGTTCACTCGGCTTTTGTTCAAGTGATTGTGTGTGTGTATGTCACTAGGACAAGATGAAACGTGGATTTACTTATCTTTTCTTTTGCTTTAATTAATCAATAACACACAATTTTCTGGAAAACTTTGAAAGGAAATTAAATAAACTAGATAATGAAACCATAAGCAGTCTCTGAAAGTTTTTTTTATTATCTACTTCCCATCAAATCCTCAAAAGATATTCAGGCATTTAATGTTAGTTGTGACTAAAATCTGATCTTAGAACTTTTCTAAGTCTTATCAAGTTGGATAATTTTTTTGAAACAGTTTCATCGAAATACTGATAACAAATGTAAAATGTGAAATATAATAAATATTTCTTAGCTGATGAACGCACAACTTCTCCAGAATACAGTCATTAAAAGTACGGGTTGGAATTGATGTGGAATTTTCCAAACTTATTTTAGAGCACTATTTTATGTATCTATTGTTTTTTCGATAGTTAAAGTGACTTCGAACCCTGTAAAATTCTGATCATTATGAGCACATTTTAAGTGTATGAAGAAGAATAAATTGGTATAAGTTGATATCAAATGTTTCACGAAACTTGCAGAATTAAGAATAAGTATCAATAAAAACATATATAGTATACGTCAACAATTAAGTTACCACCCAATAACTAAGTCCTCATAAAAAGAACTAAGAAAAAAATCCCTATTATATTTTAGTTGGGTGTGTCTCTTCTAAGGCATTAAGTATTTCGTTTAAGTGAAAATAAATGTGAACAAATTTGAGGTAATAGCTGGGATGAAGAAACTATTCCATAAAAATTGATAAACATTTGTGAACCCTTCAATAAACTGGCTTATTACTATCAGGTGTAAATCAGAAAAGAAAAAGATACAATATGTTTTCAAAATCTACTACTGAGAAATCAGAGCAATGCATGTTAAACGTGATAATAGGCTGATAAAAACCTAGAATCAAAATATGCCATTTAGAAAAGGTGAAGTTAGTATAGATTTTAGAGGTAGATTTAAGCTTTTGCTCTAAACTGTGTTGTAACTTGATACATTGAAGAACCTAATTATAAGAGTGTTATAAAAAATCAAACTTATCATATATAATAATGAATATTTTTTCAGGTGAATACAATGAAGACGACAATGGTTTTAATAGTTTGAAGCCATCGACATTGTTCTGTGTACTAACATAACGCTTCCAGAGGATGTTGTCCTTCATTTAATGTTTTATAATGTTGTTTAAACATTTTTTTTAGGTGTCACAATCCTATTGTCGTTGACGGTTTTCATGCTTCAGCTAGCTCAGAATATGCCACCGACATCTGATGCTGTATCCATCATAGGTGAAGTGTCTATTCACACCACTCTTGTCTCCTTGTTGCACGTGGATTTCTACCCTAGGCCACCTAGTGGTAGTAGGCCAAACTTGTTCCCAGAATGAATCACCCATGCTCGCTTGTTGTTATTTGCAGGTGTTACCATCCTACTTTCCCTGACGGTGTTTTTGCTTCTCGTGGCGGAATCCATGCCACCGACCTCTGATGCTGTTCCTCTGATAGGTGCGATGTTTGTGTCTGTCGACCTGTGTATACGTTCAGTGTGACTAGTGACGTCCTTGGTTTGATTGTGATAAACAACAATAAACCTTTAAAACGTACTTTTCTTCCATACACACACACACAATCAGGTATAACACGTAGGCATAAAAATTAATTTCGTTTGAATCATCAAAGAACATCTCGTTATCACCACAAAAGTATATATGAATTTTAAAAAATGAAGCAAACTATATGAACACACCCACATTAATACTAGCAAGTTACATCATGAATTCTATGATTTACATTTATCTAACTGGGTTACTCCTTACATAACAATATTCTGACGTAATTTTGTGGTGAATTGTATCTAGTTAAGGGTTGTTTGTTAATTCAGTTGCATAATTTCACTTGTTACTTCTTTCAATTGTCTCTTTCTTTATGAATGTAGTTGTAAAATGTATATAATTTGTTTTCGTAACTGGACTTATAACTGTAAGGAGAAACTATCAAGTTTATTGCTCAGCCTACATTTGTAATGTTTAAAGTACCTGTAAAATCTTTCCTGTTTCAAATAAATCGCTTAAATAATCAAATAATATCTAGAATATATATAAATATAACACTATTTTTTGGAAGCACTGTTAAAGCAAATATATATCTACAAAAGTCGGAACACTGTTATGTGATACTATTTCTAAATAATTATATACAATATGAAGTTCTCATAGTATTTCCATACCATGAATGTTTGTGAAAATTCGTTTTTTTTCTTTCCTAACATTTAAAATGAAATCCAATTTTAAACGATATTTTACACTTTCATTCGTAAAAATTAGGAGCTTCTGATCACAATTCATTATGGAATAATATTTTTAGTATACTTGTATAAATTTCAGTTCGTTGTGAGTTCTATGATTTTTCTCAAACCTTGAATTTTGGCAAGTTTATATATTTTGTATGCTTTGGAAAACTTATCACTACATATTAAACGTTTCAACAGCTAATATCACAAACCATTAGAAGCTTTATTTCTGCTTTTAAGGCAAAACTATGGTCACCAATTATGTCTTTTACAGGACTCAGCAGATCATACTGATGAAAGTAAATGCAGAAGGATGCTGAGGATATATAGATGGCGCTAGTTTCTATTGTTTTTAGGTATTGAAAACCAACGTGGTGGTGTAGATAACAAGAATGGTGAAACTATTTTAAAATTAGCATTACCAAAACTGATTTTATAATGATATCGAGTGTTATACGGTCACAAGTCATTAAAATCAGACGTATTTATATCATAGTGGTTTCAACCAGTGCCACTACTATAACAAGGTTCACATTAAGCATTGAGTTGGTTACAAACTTTTATTTGAATACTCCCAATACACTTTATTGTAACCTTTTCCACATACAACAGTTCACCTGCAATCTTTCATCTTTTCTTCTCCTTGTTATCTATGCACTGCTTGCTCAAGCATGTTTTGCACGAGACAGGTTTGTACCTCTTTCACTGTCACTACACTTCACTCATCGATACTTGTTAATGGTTGATTTTGTGATTGTCATGTTGTCTCTATTGTTGTCCACACGTTTGTCTGTAATTTGACAATTGTAACTGATTGATCTGTTATGAACGCAACCTAATGCCTGGTACTGGGTGTGTTTGAATTTTGAAGTTTCGTACGTTAATTATTTCATTTTAAAAATGATGAACTAATTTTCTTTTTCATTTAAAGGATATATAAAATTAATTACACATTAACTGTTGGTGATATTGAGGAAAGTGAAACTTAATTTTAAGTTAATGATATTTTACAAAGAGGCATTACACTTGTGAATAGCAAGGAAAATAGAGTAGTGTACTCAGATATGTTCTCCTGAATTATTAACATAGAGCAGTCTATTTAAACATATTCTCCTGAATTATCAAAATAGAGTAGTTTACTCAAATATATTTTCCTCAATTATCAAAATTTAGCAGTGCACTTAAATATGTTCTCCTGAATTACTAAAATGTAGAAGCTTACTCAAATATGTTCTCCTGAATTATTAAAATAGAGTGTTGGATTTAAATATGTTCTCCTGAATTATTAAAATAGAGTATTGGATTTAAATATGTTCTCCTGAATTACTAAAATAGAGTATTGGATTTAAATATGTTCTCCTGAATTATTAAAATAGAGTATTGGATTTAAATATGATCTCCTGAATTATTAAAATAGAGTGTTGGATTTAAATATGTTCTCCTGAATTATTAAAATAGAGTGTTGGATTTAAATATGATCTCCTGAATTATTAATTATTAAAATAGAGTGTTGGAATTAAATATGATCTCCTGAATTATTAAAATAAAGTGTTGGATTTAAATATGATCTCCTGAATTATTAAAATTCCTTCTTATCATAACTAGTTGTGTCAAATATACACCTTAATTACAACAAGGTTCACTGTATTAATTTTAACTGAAAGTAGGTGCATTTTCTAAACTCTTCGGTGTTAGTTAGTGTATATTGTTGAATTAAATAATCTCTAACTTGCAATGGTATCTCTAAAATGCGTAGCTTTCATGCGTTCTTTCTTCCTACAGGTACATACTTTGCCTGCACAATGGTAATGGTAGCATTTTCTGTAGTCATGACAGTCGTCGTCCTGAACTACCATCACCGTAACTCGGACACACACGAGATGCCACGATGTGTAAGTGACATAGATATCTTATACTAATTGTAGAGGGATATTTTGAATTAACATAGAAATATTATACTAAATTAGAGGGATATTTTTAATTAACATAGACATATTATACTAATTGTAGAGGGATATTTTTACCTAACATAGATATCTTATACTAATTGTAGAGGGATATTTTGAATTAACATAGAAATATTATACTAATTTAGAGGGATATTTTTACCTAACATAGATATCTTATACTAATTGTAGAGGGATATTTTTAATTAACGTAGAAATATTATACTAATTGTAGAGGAATATTTTTAACTGACATAGATATCTTATTCTAATTGTAGAGGGATATTTTTACCCGACAAAGATATCTTATACTAATTGTAGAGGGATATTTTTACCCGACAAAGATATCTTATTCTAATTGTAGAGGGATATTTTTACCTGACAGATATTTTATACTAGGGATATTTTTAACTGACATAGAAATCTTATACTAATTGTAGAGGGATATCTTTACCCGACAAAGATATTTTATACTAATTGTAGAGGGATATTTTTACCCGACAAAGATATCTTATACTAATTGTAGAGGGATATTTTTACCTGTCATTGCCCTAGTTTGGACAAGACTCAAGGCTATTTCTTTACTATTCCATCTGTTTGTCAGAAAATTGGAAAACGTGATATTTACGGTTTTATCGAAATTTTAACTTAACTTTAAAATGCATTTAATTTTAAGCTAACGATAATTGTAATTTATGTCAATAATGATCAAAATACACATTACGCACTTATTTTAATTGATTTTAATGTTTATGAGTTTCCTCTAGATTCACTACTTATTCTATGATATATTTTCCATTAGGAATAAAAAATAAGAATTTATTTGATTATTCTCGATTGCAATTACCAAAAAGCATCATTCTACAAAGACATCTTTGTGTAAACGTTTCTTGTTTAACCCACGTCTGAAAACAAAAGTAATGTTTATTACAAAACATAAAATCCAACCAGATGAAAAACACCGACTTATTTAAATTTTATTAAATGCGAAATACTTGAATATTTGTAAGGGAACAGCATCAAAGGGTGCGAAAAAATAATAATACAACCGTTGTTACTAGCAGGGCATTTCAACATTGGACTATATTTCTGATAATCAATGAACGAAAGAGTTTCATAACTTGACTAAATATTTTTAACTCAATATTTATAACTAAGAGAAATAAAAATATGATAAAAGCATAAGTTAAACCCCTGTTTCTAGCTCTAAGTAATTTATTTTAGTTATTTTATAATTCAGAATAACTTTGTTAACATCATCATGATGACCACTAAGGTGTCTTCAAAGAAACAAAACAAAATATCCAAACTTCAGTTCCACTTAAATAAATCGTGAAGCAAAGCTATAAATCTATTTTTTTCGAGAAACTGTATGTAATATAACAAATGACGTAGACAGATGTACATTGTAACAGCTGCTTTGTTTTTTCGGTGAAAACTTTTAAGCACAACTACATGTTCTGGGCTCATTTTGCCATCACACATATTTTCAGCCAGTAAGTACTTTGCTCACATTCTTATCCTTCCCATGCGGCTACTTTTTTGAGCTTCGATCTGTCTGACGCTCGAGATGAAGGTTAGAAGCATATCACATGATACGACTCTTATCAGCTCTCTTTAAAAGACTGATAACTGTTCGTCAACTCAGTTCGATTTCTCTGTCAATCCTGTGAGTACGCTTCAAGATAACATCTTTATCATTTTGCTTACCTAATTTACACTAATATTTTACTTTGTGCTACTTTGAAGAATAATAACATATTGTTCATATTAATAAATTATTCTTATGTCGACCAAAAGAACATCAAACAAACACGATTTTTTACTGAAATTAGTAAAGCTAAAAAAACTGTCAAAGATGTATATTTAAGACTATTAGTTTTGTGAAATTATTCCCATAAATTTTCATTGCAAGCATGTAATTAGTATTACTAACGAAGCAAATTATAATTATGATAATTAATAGAAGTATATTTCAGATTAATCAGTTACACGTGTTACTTTAAGTTCATCAATCATTTTACTCTAAAAAATGTTGACTATTTTATAGCAGTCGCTGTTAGCTTACTAGTCTCTTTTTGACATTTTTCTAGATAAAATCTATATTCCTCGTCTGGCTTCCTTGGGTTCTGCGCATGAGCAGGCCAGGTCGAAAGATGAGAGAAAAAAGTTTAATGTTCAATAGCAAAATGAAGGATTTGGAAATGAAGGAGCGGTCTTCCAGGAGCCTGTTGGCCAATGTCTTGGACATCGACGACGACTTCCGACCTGCGTACTCTACGCCTGGCTACCTCCACGTTTCAAATGATGACAACGCAGCCATACATTCTTGTATCATTACACAAAGAGAAATAAGTGCTATCACTCGTGAACTTCGCTTTATCACAAACCATTTGCGGGAAGATGACGATGCGAAGGAAATCATAGCAGAATGGAAATTCGCTGCCATGGTGATTGACAGAGTATGTCTGATAATGTTTACCATATTCACAATGGTGTCAACTTTCCTGTGCCTTTTTTCGGCGCCTCATCTTGCAGCTTAACCCATTCAAAAGAAGGAAAAAATCCTCAAAAATATGTCATATTATTACTGTACTGTCTTTTTGTTTTATGTACCTTTTCATAGAAACTGAACATGAACAGCAAAACACTCCAACATCTGCTGAAGCTCATGAACAATTGGAGCTCACGAATTAATTCAGGTGCCAATGATACACGCATGTGATAAGGCAACTCAATTCTAAACTTATTTACAGTCGGTATAATTAGTGTAACCACGAAAGTTTTGCGCTTAATCTATATCAGAATAAGTAGGAGGAGCATGTAATGAGAAGAAGTTGTAAACAATGTGTTTCATGACTGGTGAAGAGAGCTGGGTTGTCTTTTCGTATTGCAATACTGCACTTCAACATGTTCGCAATATGTGTTCTATAAACGTCCTAAAATTAGCAGGAAGTCATAGCTTTCGTTGTGCTGTGATAAACAAGTCTAATGTCAGGTTGTTTATGTAGATAGCGTCTTCATTAACAGTTCGACTTAATTTAACACATTATTTAAAGTTAGAATTTACTGCGTTTGTTCCTAAGAAATCTCAACGTATGTTTCACTTGAGGTCATATTTTACTGTCAAAGGGGTAAATAAGTTACCCTTCTTATGTATGCATTGTCTAAACACATCCCTTAAGTGCTGTAGATAGTAACAAGTAATACGTAGAGCTATTAATTTAGGGTACGTACTCCTTTTCTTTCTTTTTTTTTTGTTTAACTTTCAGTAGGCTTGTCACTAGCTCTCACGGTCTTTAAACACTTATAGACTGCTGTTGTCTTTGGTCCTTAAACACTTATTACATGTCAGTCTTTCACGAGAAATGTTAGTCCATCGCGCTAAATTCTGCTTCCAGATCAGTGTCATTTTGCTACGATTAACATCCTAAATAAGAATTATAGGATACCTTGTAGTTGCTCAACTTAATGTCATAACGAACATCGCGCACTAATGATTTTTGTTGTTGTTGTTGTTTTTTTGCGTTAGAATGATGCGTTATATCTGGTGTACAAGCTGACACTTGCGTTACATAAATAAGGACGCAAATATTCACGTGTCAACAACCTACAGTGCAATTGCTTTCTCATAACCCAAACAAATACTAAAATATGCGAATAATTTTAGAGATCAATCAACGTAAAGAACGAACTGTGTAGCGAACGAGACAAGTTATATTAGGCTTAGTGTTAGCCCAATTCTTCACCTATTCTTAACGTTTTTTGTTCAAAAACATATTGGGATGCATAAATGTAACGATCAACTAAACAATTCAATAGTGTTTAGCTATTACATATTGAAGAATACTTCACAAAATTGGGGACATTTGGACATCGAAAGCAATGCATTTCTGTTATACACAGCATTATATTTTCGAGAGCTTAGGGCTTAGTTTTCTCTAAGAGGGCATTGATTTTAGCTTAAATAATAATATCTCAATCATTAGCACCAGTTGATTAGTTAATTTTGAAGAATCTTACGTTATCTAGTATACTTAGGAAAATAACAAAATTTCACATGGCTTCCACATGGGGAAAATTGATGTTGGTTAGTTAAACTTGTGAAGTAAATGTTTTGCATCTGGTTGGTCTGTTAATCAATAATTCCTGGTTCATTACTCATACCATAGAAATGTATTGAACCTAATATAAGAAATTTATCTTTGAAGTAAATGGAAACCATGTGAATGTTTAAAAATACGTTGAAAAAGAGGGGCCTATTTTGGTGAGGTACATAATTGATAGCTATTTTCTAAACAGTGGAGAAGGTGTAATCTTCTAACCTTAGATGCTAAAACGTTGTTGTCAAATATACACAAGGTGAAGTTATTAGCTTTAGCTTCAGATTTCAGTATAAAGTAAAAATATAAAAGAAAAGCCTCAGTCAGCAAATAACAACTTTGACACATATCAAAATATTGCTTATGTCTGAGCACGTGATGCTTGGATCCGGAGTTCGAGTGTCATTGCTTTTATATAAATGCCATTCCTTCCTCTACATCTTTTAAAATTTTCTTAGATGTACAAAACAATTAACTGTTAATGTGTTCGTAAATTTGGGCTTGTGATTCCGATAAAAAGTAGATAAACCTAGTTTCTTAGACAGATAGAAAAATCTATATAATTTTAACCATTATTGCACTGTTTGATCTGTCGTATTTCCTCCTACTCTACAGAAACAAACTTTGCATTTAATTAATACTTGAACATGTAAGTTGAAATTCAATGCTTTCTTGGTTTTTTCTTGTAGTTATTCTGTCGGGCGTTACAGTTTTGAATTTTCCTTTCAAATCTCTTTGTGTATGTCGTTTGAGTGTGATTAGTAAAGTTTGTGTGTTGTCAATAAAATGATTTTCCCCATACACAGGCTATCAAGTTTTCATTTTCACTTTAATAACTTCTATACCGATGAAATGATAGTTATTCTTGAATCATACGTGCCATAGTTGTCAAATAACGTTACTCCATTTTAAACGAGCTAGTAATAAAAGATGTGGACGGAGCAGAACGTTGAGTCTGTGTTCGACCGCGATTTTTCTCGACAAATATGCGGAAGGTTCGTTATAACGGACTTAATGCGTATGATGGTTAAGAATATTTCAACGAACATCAACCTAGTTGACGCGCTTTTCTCCCTACCAGAACCTGACCGAACATCGCTGAATTTCGAGTTCTCTGAACAAATATAATATTTCTAGTAGCAATACTATCAGTCAAAATTTTAAAACAGAAAATTAGATTTTATTTAGGTGCTAAACAAAAAATCTCGAGTATAGACTAACAGAATCCGTATTTTCTTGGCAACGAGTGTTACAGTGATACTTTTTTTTTTTAATTAAGCACAAAGCTACATAAGGGCTATCTGTACTCTGCCCACCACGGGTATCGAAACCCGGTTTCTAGCGTTTTAAGTCCGCAGACATACCGTTGTGCTACTGGAGGGGCTACGGTGATACAGTGTTTATGTATCGTTCTCTAATTCCTAGAGGATGTCTTTAACAAAACCGTGCTTTGCATATGGGATAAAAATAATCTTTTCTATTCTATTCCATTAAAACTAAATGAAATATTAAATGTTAAAAACAGTACACATGATAATCATTGCTTTTATACAAATGCCGCTTCTTCCTCTACGGAACAATTCGCTTTTAATGTTATCGTAAATTTAGTTTCTTTAACGGAGAGAAAAACGTCCAATTTTAACCAAATATGTCAATGTTTATGTTCCTCCTACTTTAGAGAAAAAAAGTTTTCATCTAACTAATACTGAAACATGTAAGTTATATTTTCCCTTTTGTTTTTATTTTGTAGTATATCCCAATTTTGAATTTTGAAAATTTGAAATGATGTTACACTAGAGTTGAATATATCAAATATCCTTAATCTATAGCTGTAAATATCGTGGTACCCTATTCCAAAGTACTGCTAGATCGTACATAAAAAACGTGGTATCTTTATTACCTGATATAACCGCCAGGTTTCACTTTCCATCACAAAGATAACTGTGTGTATTTGTGTAATGAGAAACGGCATCTACCAGCCAGCAAGATGAAAGTATTTTTATTGCAATATTCATTCTTTGAAATATTGTTTGACATCCTTAAAGTCGTCACATTGTTGTGAACAACACACGAGTAAATAAACGCTTCTTACTAATGCTCTAAATCTATCAAGCCCCCATGTGTATGTTACAAAGAGTATCAGCAAGCATCAATTGCTGTCTATTTGCCCTAATTTACAATCTATCACGTGTCTAGGCTCACAGCATACTGAATAATTCGATATATTATAAGGAAAGAAGAATATTTTGTATTACTCCAACCTCTGCCATAACCAATACCGAAGAGGCCTTTCGTACAGCACCAGAGCTCATCAAAGTCAGGCCAGCTAGAAAACGTCAGATACCAGTGGTTAAGGCGCTATTGATATCATCATTTTTCATGAACAATGACTACTATGGTGTAAATTAGATTACGTAAGCAAATTATAATTGTTATCAATTCTATTTAGGTCATTTATAAGTGAAACGTTTAAGGTAAGGACTAATAATACAATATTATGCATTTTGATAAAAGGTTTAGAAAACAACGTTTGGCCTTTGCGGCTTCATCGGGATTAATATACAATAGAGTGTTTTAACCCCGAAGAAGCCGTAAAGGCAAAACGTTGATTAAAATAAAAGTTATTTTATAAATATCTGGAGTATAAAGGTCGTTTTTTTTTCTAAACTTTTTATCCAAATGTGTAGATTCCTCCTGTATGCACTAACTACGTATTATGCATTTATTATATTTCTAACGCTGATTATTTTATTGTATTTATTTCTACTATTATTGAAAAAAACCCAAAAAAACAGGCAAACAAGCAAGCTTGTCTTCTTGTACTTGAAGCAGGTTAAACAACCAGAGGGTCATTGGAAGAAAACTAAATTAATAGTTCTAAGAACATATGAGTAAAACAAAGAAGAATATGTTATAGTATGTCAACCAAATTACATCTGTCATATCCAGTGGCGACGAGGACTATACTCAAACGTTTGTCTAGATAGGCCTGTAAAACAAAGTGCAAGTTGTAACAGAAATTTCTGGAAACTCCTTCTTAGTAAATATTGAAAAATACTTATAGTATCAGCATCTTCTGTGCTAATATGTACAAAGGCAATAGTTGAAATTCCTTTAAATAGTTACTAGTATCTTAAGTACGGTGTACACCCTGAAAACTGTGTCATGTTAAGACAACAAAACGAAACTACCTAATGGATCAATATGTGTATATGTGTTATACCACAGTCTTTCTCAATACCATGCAATATATCCAAGAAGGTCAAAGCTTTCATGGTTAACTGTAGGCTAGATTTCTTAAGATAGATCAAAGATCAGTTTGCATTTGTAAAAAGAAAAAAAAACTTGTTCTGATTAAGTCTGTTTTATTGTTCGTTGATAATGTTATGAATTAATAACAACTAAAAATAACATACTGATTAACTCAGTTTTATTGTTCGTTGTTAATGTTATTAATTAATAACAACTAGAAATACCATACTGATTAACTCAGTTTTATTGTTCGTTGTTAATGTTATTAATTAATAACAACTAAAAATATCATACTGATTAACTCAGTTTTATTGTTCGTTGTTAATGTTATTAATCAATAACAACTAAAAATACCATATTGATTAAGTTTGTTTTATTGTTCATTATTAATGTTATTAATTAATCAGAACTAAACAAACAAACCGATTAAGTTTGTTTTATTGTTCATTATTAATGATATTAATAAATCAGAACTAAAACAAACAAACCGATTAAGTTTGTTTTATTGTTCATTATTAATGCTATTAATCAATCAGAACTAAAACAAACCGATTAAGTTTGTTTTATTGTTCATTATTAATGCTATTAATCAATTAGAACTAAAACAACAATGCTGATTAACTATGTTGTATTGTTCATTATTAATGCTATTAATCAATTAGAACTAAAACAACAATGCTGATTAACTATGTTGTATTGTTCATTATTAATGTTATTAATTAACTCTGAGCAAGATCCATTGTCGGAATCCATTTCCTTTTAAGTTCCGAATCCTACTTACACGGTTTTTAAAGCATCAACAAAAAGAACGTGTTCAAAGTATTCCACGAAGAAGATGAAAGCTATAGACAGAAATAATAAATACACCTAACTGTATATCATTTTGAAAACTAATTCAAAACTATTGATTCGACTTCTCAAACAAAGATATCTATGCTTCAATGAAATATTAAACGAGCAATTGAATACTTGTATATTAATAGGTATTGGAAGGATTTTCTCAGTATTTTGAAACAGCTCCTTAATCTGTACAAATCTTTCTTGATCTTTCAGTTATATAGTTGTCTATCACAGTTTAGACTTCAGAAATATGAGTTTTGCTGTTACAAAAGCACATATTTTTGAGCATTCATAACGCTGCTCATTGGACATATCGCTCACAAGGCCCTGTTAAGTGTTAAAGTTGAAGCTAAAGTTAACTCGAAGTGGTATTGAACAATACAAAAACAACAAAAAACATAACTTTAGAATACAGACAAGGTCGTCAAGAAATTAATGTCTCGTTTTGGAACACTTTCATTACCCCCCCCCAGAAAAAACGTACATCACGTATAATAGTTAAACGAACCGCCTAAACGTCACTTCACTGTAGCCTATATAATATGTTAATATTAGTATACTCTAATCCCTTATAGTGACGACACACGACGAGACACACACATTCGGCGTGTAATACTGTTGGAATACAAGAAGGGAAACAACGCCTCTGTAGCCACAAAGAATATCAAAGAAGTTTCTGGAAATGTTTTGAACGTTCGTAAGTGTCAACGATTGTTCAGCAAATTTCGTTCAGGTGACTTTAGCCTTAAAAACTGTGATGGCAGGGGCCGACATGTTGGAATTGATATTGATGCTCTGAAGACGCTTGTTGAGTCTAACCCAAGGCAACACACTCGTGAAATGGCCCTGAAATTGCATGTCTCTCATCAAACAATACGTAAACATATAAGGAATTTGGGAAAATTCCAGAAAGAAGGTGTTTGGGTGCCTTACGAACTCTCCGATGATCATCGTTTCCAACCTATGAACGTTGCTTCGTCTCTTCTAGCGCGTAATGCGCGTGAACTATTTTTTGACAGAATTGTCA